CACACACGCTCCATCGAACTATGACAAACAATGAGTCACCCTTTGCCACCTTTGCTTAGAACCCAATTAATGTGTCGGTTAACCACACACGCTCCATTAACGTCTTAGCAAGGGTACAAAGTGTAATTTCATGGAATTGCATCAAATTCACTTTTGCCTAAAGTAACTAAGATTGGGAATTTTGTAAAAACATTTAGTTACTTTATATAGATTCATTATACTTTTAAATGAGGAAAGTTTGCCCTATCCTACCCGTTCGGCTAACGACCCTCCACCAATCAAGGAAGCGGTGGGTGAGAATGGACACCCATTAAATGGCCATTTTATAGGCCATAACCTTATACCCCCTTATAGATTGGCTTCGTGAATGAGGCCTACTAACGGTAAGACTAGCATTTAAGTTATACATATATATATATATATATATATATATATATATATATATATATATATATATATATATATATATATATATATATATATTAATCTTATAATATTATAAGTATAAAGTTGAATTTTAAAACTTGTAAAATTCTAAGGTTTGAAATTTAAATAGTTCAAATTAAAACTTTTAATCACAAAACTTAAATTTCAAAACTTGAGGACAAGTTTTGAACTTTTCAAAAGGATCAAACAGCAAATAATATAAATTAAACAATTAATTTAATGATTATCTAAATTTGACCTAGTCAATATTACTTGCAAGATAATTCAACAATTAATTGAAATAATCAATTATTATCAAATAAGGAAATTATTATTTAAACAATTGGTAAATATCTTTTGTTTTGTTGAGAATATTGACAAAAAGATGATAAAATTCGGATTTTATTGAACCAAAACGATTTAGGTAAGTATCCTCAAGCAAAACAGCAAGAAATCCCGAAAATCACTCTGACAGACGCTCCGACTCGCCGAGTCCCCTTATGGACTCGTCGAGTTCATCCTACTCGTCGAGTCCACAATGGGACTCGCCGAGTCTGTTAGTCAGGAGGCAGAAAAACGATTTTTCCAAAGCTAGAACAAATAAACAATGCATCAATTCAATAGAAATCAATCAAAGCTCTGATACCACTGATGGGGTTTGAGCCATAAGAACTTTCCTATGTGCACATGCAAACCCTAGTGCTTGGATCTAGGTTTCTCTAATTGAACATGCAATTTATCCAAGTCTTGCAAACCCTAGATCTAGTGAGTATAATTCAAATTTGATGAGACAAATCAGATCTAGATGATTACCTCTTGTTGCTTACTTGAATCTTCTTGTTCTTGGAGCTTAGAGTCACGATTGTCACTCCTCTAATGGCTTACAAACACCAACTAGCAAGAGGATGATTTAGAGAGAGGTTGTAGGCACTAAATCGGCTCTAGGAACTCCTTAGGGTTTCTGGTGGCCGATTTCTGTAGCCCTTGGGGTCTTTAAATACTTGAGCTGCTAGGGTTACATCCTGAAACCCTAATTGAATAACTTAGGCCCTAAGCAATCCAAGGATCCCTCTAGAATAAGGCTTGGACGAATTCAAGGAGTCCATACACCCTACTTTCGTCCACCCTATACTCATAAGGATCCATAGCCCAAAACCAACTATCACACAATTGACAGTTCCAGTCCCCTTTATTTAATTAATCTCTTTTAGTCACCAAATTAATTCTTAATTAATCTATGACCAATATTAATTAAATAATATGATTATTCCTTTAATATATTATTCTCATAATATATTAATAAATCATAATATCTTCTCTCTCTTCATAAATCACCCTGTCAAGTTGCTATGGTGAAGGCAACTCAAAAGGACCATGCACAACCGGGTCAAATACTTACCAAATATAGTTACTGGCTTAGACACTAATCCAACAAAAACAACCAAGATCTAGTCTGTAAGTCTCAAAAGGGCCAAGAATGCATCTTTCTCAACTTAATCTATTAAGTCCAAGTCTCCATCCTTTAGATCTGAATCAAAATGATGTTTAGATGGATAAAGTTTTCCAACTTTATCCATAATAATGCCTCAAACTTTCAAAATCTAAACTTTAATGTGCCAAAAATAACCTAAAGGACCAAGATAACTTGCATGGCTAAAAAGGGAGGCAAAAGATCATAACTTTCCTAGTCCATGAGGTCCAAGAAGCATTCCATAATGATCAAAAGATGTTGGAGTTCACTCAACTCCAAGATCACCCATAAAATGGACCAAAAGTGCCAAAAAACCACAAATGACAAGATCTAAATAACTAAAGAGCAAACAGTCACAACTTCTTCGTTTCAACTCCGTTTTTGGCAACATACTTGTCATATCGTGAGGACAGGTTTTCACCCGATTCTACTCCAGCTTCAAACAGTCATAACTTCTTCGTTTCAACTCCGTTTTCGGCGATATTTATATGCACAGAAAGGTATTGACGAGCCCCATATCTCTATACAATTACTTTTGACTTGATATATGTTGAGCTAAAACCATAATTCGTGCAAGAAACCCGAATATTACTTTTCCCATTTTACCCTTTTTCTTCAAAGCACAAATCGAGGGCTTAAATCACTTAATCCAACATTATGAACATCTGAAAGGGTCTAGACTCGATTCCCTTAAAGACCAAGACCTTTACTCGATCCATTTACAACATGTTGTCCCTCGTATTAGAAACATCCTAAAACTAGGTGTTACAAGTAGCCCTAGAGAAGACCTCCAAAACCATCCACTCATAAGGAGGTTCTAGAATGCTTCCTTCAACTTTTGAACAATTGCATTCTAACCCTTAGACCCATTAATTAATTCTAATTAATCTAGAACAATTAATTAAATTAACTCTGATTAATTCTTAAATAATTATTTCCATTTCTAATTAATATATTTAATCCTATAATATATAAATAAATTATCTCTCTCTTTCTCTCAATATCAATCCATGCCTTTTGCTGGTTATGAGGGCAACCCAAAAAGGGCTTTACTGTTATTCACTCAATATACCAATTTAGTTAAGACCTTAGACACCCTAATCTAACATACATTTCCTGGGAAGGTCATATGTTAAGAACCTTGCATCTTGTTGGCATAAAATGTTTTGATGCTATAAGCATTAAGTTCCAATAGGGTCTTATAGAATTTCCAAAGCTAAAAGTAAGTCATAATGGATATGAAATAATACCACAACTGGTTAGTGATTTCTCAAGCAATAGATGGAATTTTTTTTTTCTCAAGCCTTGTATGATGTTTTCGTGATCGTATTGAACCAATTGTTTTACTTGTACTATGTTCCACTGTCCATACTTGATTGCTTTATAATCAATTGTCATGTGATGTTAATTTTTTTTGAAAACTTCATATTCTGCAGAACGGACGGGATACAATTTTGGCCACATGATCCTAGAAAATGATGGAGTTGCTCCCACCAGCACCACCAAAGGAACGCTTGCGACTAAAAAGCGAACTTTACTGCAAGAGGTCGTATTCACTATTTGATTTTGGTCAATAAGATTCATCTAATTTGTCATTATTGATGGTTATTTTTTATAACAACTTACGTTCATTGATTTTAGAGCAAATCGGTCATCATATTAAGGATCGATTGTTACCGATGACATTATAGTCCAATATGTCAACCCAAGCATGTGGCAACGTGATTTCCTCCACTAAAGTCCATGTTTGAGGGATAGCAAGACCGTTACAATTTATCTTTCTTTTGGATTTTATTTTTGGGTTGGGTTTCGGGCACATATTCGGGTTGGGTTTTGGGTACGGATTCAGGTGACGCTTGGGACATATAGCTTTCACCCGCATAATAAGAAGACTTTTGAGAAAAACATGGAGTTTATGGCTACATAACAAATTTCAAGTTAGTTGGAGAAAGCATGAAATTAAATTGTAGGATGTATGGTTGTGACAAAGATTCGAGATGAAAAGGATTGTTGTAAGTAGATGTGTTTGATCTTGGGCGAGATTTATTACAGGCTAATAATAGGGTTATGTAATTTGATGGATTTTGAGAATCCATTTTAGATTAAATTAGAAGAGAAAATAAGATGAAAAAGTAGGTGTTTAATTAGTATTTATGAGGTTTAGGGGAGTGGTAGCTTTGGCAAAGACTCTAAATATCATTTTTACCATATTCTATGTCATCTTGCCATATATGAGGGAGTGGTGCATTATGACAAGAAAGAGATGAGAAGAGATAAAATGGAAGAAAGAGAAAGAGAGACATGACTCGACATTCCAATCCATTTGAGCTTTCCATTTTGCCATGCCATGTTCGGGGGCGGTGTATGCCACACCACCTAGGTGCCACCTCATCTTTTGCCATGTTTATGTCACCCCCACTCCTCCAAGCCTGAGAGGTAATAGAAAAAAAATTTAAACGTTCAACGATCACAAGACAGAAGGAAAGAGAAAAGAGAAACCAATGCCCAATCATAACGGGACTTAGGGGTGCAAACGAGTCAGACTACTCGTGAGCTACTCGGGATCAGCTCGTTAAAAGTTCGACTCAAAATCGATTTTAAACGATGCCGAACTAAACTCGAGCTTAATATTAAGCCCGTTTATTAAACGAGCTCGAACTAGAGCCTATGTCACTAAGCTCGATTAGGCTTGCGAGCCTAAACGAGCCTATATATAATATAACTTATTATTATTTTTATAGATGACAATAAAAAGTATTGGAGGAATTAGGGATTTAACTCGAACTGAACTTAAGCTTATTTAGGCAAGTTATACAAAAAACGAGCCAAATTCAAGCCCGAGCCGAATTTGTATGATTCTTTACGAGCTCGAGCAGAGCTCGGTACAAGAAAACTCAAATCGAACCGAACTAGTGTTCGAATCTTGTATAACTTAAACGAGCCGAAACCAAGCCTGACCACTCGGGGTCGGCTTGATTGGTTTGCAGCCATAGCGGGACTCTCTTTTGCAGAGGCGGCACAGTGTTCCTGGCGGGCACCACAAGTCACATCGGACCCAACCAGTGAGAAAGAGAGGCAGTATGTCGACAAGTAGCTCAACTTAATGGACCAAAACGTAACAAATCTTATAGTACCTTCTGGAACCCGCGTGTATAAGTTTTCAGTGTTTCAAGACAGAATTCCTTGTCAATGTCATCACTCCATTCCATTTCCTTCATTCCACCCTATATCTTTCTCAGCGCTTCACAGAGTTCCTACTTCTGATATCTACAAGCATGAACATCATCAATTGGTATGTGATTATCTTTTTCAGAATTTTGATATAATTAGTTTTCATCGAGCCTCAGGTATTTGTTCTTTTTTATTGATTCGCTAACTCCATTTATTAGTTACTAGTTTCTTCGAGGATCATACTTATCTGTTGATTCGCTAGTGAACAAATTGACTTAATAAGTTGTTTATCTCGAAATCGCGTCCATGTGTGTATAGACGGAATTGCATGTTCGCTTCTCGTCGATTTCAATTTCCAAATCTGATTCGTTAATCATAGTTTGAATCGTTTGATATTATGTGAATTCATTTGATTCTCGTACGAAAAAGGGCTTCTTCATGAATCATGATGTGTGAATCATTTACTTTTTACAATGTTTCCAGTTTCTCCTCATCATATTTCAATTTCTAACCCTTAATAACATCTTAAATTGCTCTGTGATTGCAGAATAATCTTGTTCTTCCTCTTCAGATTTTAAACCTAAAAATGTCAGGTGCCCGGAATACACACTGGTGCTACCAATGTCTTGAACCTGTTCGTCTCCAAGGTCGCAATCCAATTTGCCCTTATTGCTCTGGAGGATTCGTGCAAGAACTGAATGAGGATTCTGGGCCTTTTCATGGAGACGAAGCTTCTGATTACGGATTCTTGAACCCATTCCCAAACCCTAGAAACAGAATCATGGATACCTTTGCTGAGTTAATTAGACAAAGAATGAGCGAGAGAAACCCTAACTTCTTTGAGTTCTTTAATGGAGTTCCAATGGATTCTAATGCTAGTAATATCTTAATGGGGACTGGTTTAGAAGATTTGATTGAACAGCTTATATCTAATAATGGTAGACAGGGCCCACCTCCAGCAACCCAATCTGCAATTGACTCTTTGCCTGTTATTAGGATAACAAATAGGCACCTTCAAATGGAGTCTCATTGCCCAATTTGTCAAGATAAGTTTGATTTGGGGTGTGAAGCTAGGATGATGCCATGTCATCATATCTACCATTCTGGTTGTATTGTACCTTGGTTACTTGAGCACAATTCTTGCCCTGTTTGCAGGCTTGAGCTTCCTGCTCAAGGTACTGATGTTATCAGTAACAGCAGCAGTAGCAGTAGAAACACGCAGGACAATGACCCAAGTGATGGGAGGAGGAATCCATTATCGTTTTTGTGGCCTTTTCACTAAACTAAGAAACTGATTATTGCTATGCAAGGTATTTCTATATGTTTATAACTAGTTGTGAGACTGTTATTACATGAGTTTATTTTAAAAAAAAAAGTTAAATATAAAAGTTTAAACATTTGAGAAGTTTGAATTTATAAGGAAAATTGTTATGCAAGGTACTTCTATATGTTTATAAGTAGTTTTGAGACCTATGTACTACACGAGCTTATTTAAAAAAAGTTAAAATACTTCTATATGTTTATAAGTAGTTGTGAAACCTGTATACTACACAGGTTTATTTAAAAAAAGTTAAATATAAAGGTTTTAAACATTTGAGAAGTTGAATTTATAAGAAAAATTATGATGCAAGGTACTTCTATATGTTGCGTACTATAAAAGTTTATTTAAAAAAAAGTTAAATATGAAGGTTTAAACATTTGAAAAGTTTGAATTTATAAGGAAAGTGAAAAAAATATTGAATTATTGAAATTAAAGTGTTACGTTTTTTTTAAATTTAAACAAAATAGTAACTTAGATAAATAAATAAATGAAATAGTTTGCTTCAGTTTAGGAATTTTAAAATTAGAAAGAGATTTTGTATTAATGAAATTGATATCTATTTCTTATTATATTTATTACAATTATTATATTTAAATATTATTTGAAATTTAATAAAATAGAAAAAAAAACCTGACATGTGACAAAATAATGAGGGTGTCTCATGTGACAAAAAAATTATTTATTAGAGTAAATATCGGTTAAATCTGTTTATTTGGAATAAAGGACATAAAGGATTTTTAATTATAAAAATTGATATGTTTTATATTAAAAAATTGGGTTGATTTTATTAATTGGTATTAATTTGATTTTTTCTTGACAAAAGACCATTGATTTATAAAAGTACTATTAGAATGTAATCAACAAAGTTTACAAAATACATGTATTGTAATGGTGTTTCGTGAATACAAACAAATTGTTTGGTATTTATTTATGATGTTTTTTTATAGAATGTTATTTTGTAAAAATCAAATAGTTTGCTATTCATTTGTGACATTAACCTTAAAAAATAATAATAACACAACTTTGTAACAGATTCTATAAAGAGATATGTGGAAGCTGATAATTTGTGTACAAGGAATAAAAAGAAAAAAAAATGTCTCATGATGCTTGTTACCACGTGTAACGACATATTGAGACAATGTAAGTTACCATTTACCAAGCATGGATGTATGGATTCTCATATAGCACACAAACCCAACCACATGTTAAATGATGATAGTTTATATGTAAATTCTATATTTGAATGACAAAGTTGAATCTCACTTAATAATTGATGTTTAATTGTCGAATATTTTTATTTATGAACAGATAATGAGCAGATTACAAATTGTTTGACAGTTATGTATTGTATTTAGTTGTTCTTTGTTTATACACTTTTGTATAATATAGGGACTCATTTGTAAACTGTATCCTTATATCCACATACACACAAACCCTAATTAAGGGGATTCCACATAATCCAACATAGTATTGCGCCGTCTGGTTCAGAAAAACCCTTTTTTTTGGGACCGTCTCCAATCAGCCTTTACGGTGGTCGGCTTCCTTTCTTTGGCTGCTCACTTTGTTGTTGCTGCTCCATCAATAGTTGTCATCAAGCACCCCTATTATAACTTCTCCTACTCCCAGTCAACTTGCCTTTGCTCTCAACAATGTTTATTCACAGTTTAGTTTCAAATTGTTCGTTATGGGCCATGTCTTTCTCAACATGTGCAAAGGTGCTAAAGTTCATGGACACATCATACACAAATCCTAACCTAAAGGTGATCATGATGAGGATTGGGTGGCCATTAACTCCATTATTGAATCTTGGTTTTATTCTACATCTGTGAAGGTTTGTATCGATCAGATACACTTCAAACATAATAAAGAAGAACAAACTAACTAAGCAAATAAAGAACATAAAAAGTAAAGAACACGAAATAATCAAAAGTTGTCTTTCACTAAGAAAGGGATTGTTTTCACCAAGAAAACAGATTGTCACAAAGACGGTCACCAAGACTTCAACATTAGGGTTTCACCCTAATGTTGAATATATACTAAACTATACTACTATATCCCTTCAATGAAGGGATTGTATCTAATCTATACTAAGAACCGATCATTATCACCAAGATATCAGATCTGTTATCAATTATATATATATATATATATATATATATATATATATATATATATATATATATATATATATATATATATAAACATCACATAAGATTACTATCTACACGCTACACTAATAAGGCTTGAGGTGCCGACGCTGGTACTGATGTTGGTGTTGGCGCTGACAGTCAGCGTATAAAGTGTTTGTCTCATCAGATCATAAGGTGTGAACTTATAATTTCCCCCTATCTGATGATGTCAAAACTAATCTTCTTCAGTGGAGTCATCAAAAGAACAATTGTAGAATTTATCAGCTTCTTTCAAGATTTCAGGCTTTACCCACCTGAATTCATCAATTTTAAGTTCTTCCAATCTTTTGCTAAGCTCCAGAGAAATCAGCACACGATATCCTCTTTCCAATTCTATATGATTAATCCTTTAATGCAAAGATGAAATAAATGCTCAGTGGGTGCAACAGGAAGATCATTAGTGCGTTGAAAACACTTGTGATTTTGTCTGTCAAGATAGAAAATACCATGTTATGGTTCTTGAATGAACATGTGTTGAACTGGTTCAACACCCACTGACAATTCGTTTTTGATGTAACCAGTGCCATATGGAAGAAGAAACTTGGAATTCTTGGACATTCTGGGGGCGCTTGTGCTTCATGAAGTGGATGGTCTAGATGAACCAACTGATGGCACAAGATTCAGCTTCTTGACTTTGTTGAATAGCTGTTGATTTTCTAATTTCACCTCTTGTGCATGCATACCTTTATGTTTGTCAATAATTTCCTGAATTTGTATACACTCGTTGTAGCCAAAATTGACAAGTTCACGAGCAAGTATAACTTCACTGTATTCATACTCAGTCTTCTTTCTGACCAAGTGAAGCTTTAGTGACTCGTTCGTTGGTTTAGTACACCTTACCCTGATTCAGTTTTGATCTACGAGCCAGAACATCTCCAAACTTCTTTCTGTTGATCCTGTCATTCAACTCTTAATCCTTTGTTGTTTGTCCACATTATTGTTGAATAGCTGAATATTCTTGTTTTGAACATCGGTGATTTGAACATCAGCACTTTCATCAGCGGAAGCAAGAGCCTGAGAAAATTTAATGGACAATCGTTCTCCTTTTCTAGCTTATTTTCTAGCTCAAATAGTGACATTATTCTCTATCATAAATTCTCTAACTTCCTTAATAGAAATACCCCATTCTTCAACTAAAACATTCAGATCAATAGTAAGCTTAAATTTCTTGGAAGGATGAGGTGTTGAAGGATCACCAACAGTAGAAGAGCTTCCAGCTTCAGCGTCATGAGCTCCACCAAAGAAGGAAGCTTTCCTCTTTCGAGGATTGAGTTGATAATCATTAGAATCTATGTCACTGTTAGTTCCCTGAGGAATCTCCCCCTTAAAGTATGAATTAGGGAAAACTACACTCAAAGGAACAATAGGAACATCAGCTTGTTCCATGCATCCCAAATCAAGAAACCCTTCATAGTCATCAGTCTCCGGTTGATCACAAGCGTCTGGGATAGCCTGATCATATTTTGTTGCATCAACGTTTGGAATGTTGCTCTCTTGTTCAGTAACAACGATTGCCTTTTGACTATAAACTTCAACCCTTCCTGATTCAGACATTCCAGGCTGGGATGGAGTTGATGGAATTACCACCATTTATTGATCAGTGCTTCCTTGACTATTCTCCCCCTTTTTGGCATCATCAGTTTTGGGTGGAGAACCAGGTGGAGTGCGAGGAGGGAAATGAGATGGTGGAAGGGGTGGAGGTGGATTTGATGATGGAGGTGGAGGTGGCGGAGGATTATCACCTGGAGAATTTGGTGGAGTGTCATCAATAACCATATCATCATCATCACCCAAGGTCATAATGCGTTTCATATAGGAAGTCGACATGATTACTTGAGTGTATCAAAAACCCGATCTGATACCAATTAAAGGTTTGTATCGATCAGATACACTTCAAGTATAATGAACAAGAACAACCTTACTAAGAAAATAAAGAACAGAAAAAGTAAAGAACACGAAATGATCAAAAATTGTCTTTCACCAAGAAAGGAGTTGTTTTCACTAAGAAGAAAACAGGTTGTCACAAAGACGGTCACCAAGCCGTTAACATTAGGGTTTTTCACCCTAATGTTGAATAGATACTAAACTATACGAGTATACCCCTTTAATCAAGGGATTATATCTAATCTATATTAAGAATCGATCATTATCACCAAGATATTGGATCTGCTGATGTTGGTGCTGGCACTGGCAGTCAACGTATAGAGTGTTTGACTCATCAGATCATAAGGTGTGACCTTACAATGTGATGCTAATTTTTTACAGATTATATCGAGTGACAATTATACTATGAAAGGCCTATGGGATAAGCTAGATGAGTTCTTCATCAATAACAAGATTTGTCGAATGCTCCGGCTACAAGAGCAATTCTGCAACACGAATAAAGGTGCTTCCTTACTCACCGAATTATGTTATTTAGGTGCTGTTTGTTTTTTTGAAGCAAAAATCCATAAAGTCTGCGGATCACCTCTGCAACCCTCTGCAGTAGAAGAGGTGGACCAAACGGCTGTAGAGTGTAATAAGAAGCGTGTTTGTATTTTTAACATCTGCATGCTGCTGCAGATATTAAAAAATTAAAATAAATTGTTTTTATAATACGAAAATAGTTTTTTAATACTGAAAATTTAATAATGTATGACATTTCGGCAATAATTTATGATATTTCAGCAAAAAATAATGATATTTTAACACAAAAAATAAAGATATTTTAGCATAAAATAATGATATTTCATCAACAAATTATTATTATTCAATATAAAAAAAAAAGAAAAAAGAATTCCAACAAGAATAAATAAAAAAAAACGAAAAAAATGTGAAATAAGATTTCAGCAATATATAATCAATATTTTAGTAAGAAAAAGAAGAAGAAGAAGAGGTTGGAAGAGATAGGAAGAGGCAAAACAAGTGTTGCGCCAAGAAGAACACACGCATATGTGTTTTAATCCGAAGACTTCTGAAAAACAAACAACTGCTAGATGAAAAGTGTTGCGCGTGTGCTGCGCTGCGCAGCAATAAGAGGTCTGAAGAGTTTTTTTTCCAAAAAACAAACAACACCTTACTCAGGAATTTATTTAATGCCTTAGCCAATTGTGACTCCAATATTGATAAGGTGGAATTGGTCATCCAAGTACTTCGTCATCTTCCTCCTTCCTACCACACCATAGTTGATGTAATCACCAACACAAATCCCTTTCCGTCCTTCCTATAGGCGAATAATATGCTACTTATTCGTGAATCATGAAAAATATAACGATCATTCCGGTGATACATCGGTTACATCCACGATGGCTTTATACACATCTACCTTGTTACATGGAAAATCAGAAAATAAGTTCAATATATGGACAATAATAATGGACAAGTTGCTTGGGGGGGGGGTAATACTGATATTTTTGCTAGTTCTAATAATATGTTAGGTCCTCAAGGCGCTCCAGCTCCATTGCAAGCTTTTTGTGTAGCACAAAACTCCAATGGGTCACTTCTGTCACAACTAAAAGGACTCCTCAGGCCTCCTCCATCGCCTTTTGCCTCTTACGATCATCTCCAACAACCTTAGCTGCCCTCGATCCACAACAACATCCGGTAGCACATGTTGCCGTCAGTTATGTCCAACAGTCGCTGACTAGCGGTTTTTCTCCGGTGATTCAGCAACAACACACGACGCTGCAACAACACCATCAAGTGCCATTTTATGGCTCTCCACATCAAACAAGTCAACCTTTTTATGCTTTGATCATGGCTCCAAATTAGTATTTTCGACAACGATAAAAATTTTCATCCTTTGGAGGTCATGCTACATAATTTGGTGAACATAATTACACATATCTCGCCTCCGTTGTTCAAGCAATTATAGTTCAACCACCTCAAGACAACAACTACTACATGGATCCGGGCGCAAGCTCTCACATGACATTCAAGATAACATGAGTTCTCTAACTTCATGTAATTCTAAATTCATAACGATTGGTAACAGTGATGTTCTCCCTACCAATAGCATTGGACAAACCTTGTTTATTTTTTTTAACA